TAACAATGATAAATAATACAGAAATGAACAAAAATATAAATACAAAATAAAAGAACAAATTTTCATAAAAACGATAAAAATATGAATATAAAATAAAAATAAATACAAATAACATTACATTAACAATAATATTAATAATTTTATGTAATGATTATAAAAAAATGTAAAATAAATAAATAAATAAACATCATTAGAAGAATAAAGAAAATATAATAATTCTTCATTCGTTAGTATTTAATGAAATGATAATAACTATATAATAACAATGACAAAAGAGTATACAAGAGAAGATAGAGAACGATGTGGATTGAACATTCCAGAAGAATTTAATGCAATTGACTATGAATGTTTTATGGGATGTTGTGATATTGATAAAATTAATATTCCTACAAATATTACATCATTAGGAAATAAATGTTTTTATAGGTGCAAATCATTAACGTCTATTAATATACCAACTTCTGTTATTAAAATAGGAAAATATTGTTTTAGTGGATGCGAATTGTTAAAGTCAATTACTGTTCCATGTTCAGTTAATGACATAGGAAATGAATGTTTTGGTGAATGTCCATCATTAACATCAATTGATATTGAAAATGTTCAATTTATTAGTGAGGATAGAATGTTTGTAGGAAAAGAAAAACTAGCATCAATTCCTGTTAATAACTTAAAAAGAATTAATGGAATGTCAATAAGAAAAAGAGATGTTAATGGGTTTGTTATTCCTACATCAATCACTGAAATAACGGATGGTTGTTTTGAAGGGTGTATGCCATTAAAATCAATTAACATACCAACATCTGTTAGTAAAATTGGAAGGGATTGTTTTAAAGAATGTAAGTCATTAATATCAATTAATATACCAACGTCTGTTAGTGAATTCGGATGGGATTGTTTTAGAGAATGTTATTCATTAACATCAATTGATATTGGAAATGTTCAATTTATTAGTGAGGATAGAATGTTTGTAGGAAAAGAAAAACTAGCATCAATTCCTATTAATAACTTAAAAAGAATTAATGGAATGTCAATAAGAAAAAGAGATGTTGATGGGTTTGTTATTCCTACATCAATCACTGAATTAGGAGATGGATGTTTTAAAGAATGTTCATCATTAAGATATATTAATATACCAACATCTGTTAGTAAAATAGGAGGTTGGTGTTTTGAGTTATGTTCATCATTAAAATCAGTTAATATACCAACATCCATTAGTGAATTAGACTGTAGTTGTTTTAGAGAATGTTATTCATTAACAACAATTAATATACCAACGTCTGTTAAAAGTATAGACATGTTCTGTTTTTATAAATGTAAATCATTGGCATCAATTGATATACCAACATCAGTTAAAGAAATAGGATATGATTGTTTTAGTGGATGTAAATGTGAAAAAAAACTAAAGAACGATAAGAGAATAGGGAAAATCTACGTCCATTATGCTTATTATGATGACACATGTGTTGTTGTCTAAGTGAAATGAATTTTTAATAAATTTAAAGTTTTAACAAAGAAAATAATAAATGATGAAAAGAAAGAATAAAATGAAAGTAATTTTTATGAATAATATAACAAGATAAGAACAGATATAACATAATTAGATAATGAGAATATAACAATGAATGAATAATATAAAATAAAGAATAAATAAATAATTATTGAATTAAATCAAATAAGAAAAAGATAAAAATGAATTAATTAATTAGATGAATATTATATTTTCATTTTATAAGAATGAAATGATTAATTTTCAATAATTTTATAATTATCAATGATATATTGATTGATAATAAACATTAAATCATTTCAAATAGAATAAATATTAATTTAATAACATTTATAAACATTATATAATGTTATTTCTTATTTTAAATTAATTTTTATTTTCATTATATTTTAT